AAATCCAGTCGCGTACCCGTTCACTGAGCCGTATCCATCACTAAAAATGCCGATTAGATTACCAAGTGGGGATCAGGAGCGTTGTGGCTAACGTACCTCATGGACTGATTGTTTGGTCCATTTGCCTGGTTGACCACGGCACTGACATTGGTAAGGATGACCTTTAAGAACACAATGGTGATCGACTGCAAATGAACAAGAGCTTGCGTCTGTTCGGTACCATAAGCCACTGCGAACTGGTTCAGTTAAGAGGTAAGAGAGGATGCGGACTCACATAGAATGACTCCACCGCATCCAGGCGACGTTGAATATCTTCGTTGTCGGTTTCTTTCTGGGGTGCCCTGTCAGGGCTGGCTTGTCTATTCTTCTTCTCCTTCTTCTTCTTCTTCTTCTTCTTCTTCTCTTGTAGATTCAAGTCCTGCAAATCTTCCGTCAATTCTGTATCAAAGCCCTCATCCGAAGGACTTTCATTGTCATCCAAGTACCAGCCACGGTCGTATTTCATGAACCGCTCTCGCTCTTCCCATAGCTGCCGCATGGCTCTCGTCATTTTGACATGCGTTGAAAATAATTTCCCGGCCTCAATAATCGATGCCGGGACGTCACTCCCTTCCCATCTCTTTCCTACCAACACATCCTGAAGCTCCGTAGTGCCTTTGCCACCGATATCGTTGCTCTGGTCATTGAGAGGCGGGTACATGAAGGGGAAGTTCTGGTTAGTCTGATAATTCTGTTTCTTGCCTGCCTTACCACCCGGGCCGATGGGTGACGGTGGAGGCGACGGTGCCGGGGTTGCGATATGAACCGACTGGTGAAGGATCGAGCCATTCCCACCGGCAACCGACGGCCCAACACCAGAAAAGAGACCGTTCGAAGTGGCTGATCTGCTGGGGTGCTGAGGAAGAGGAGGGAGTATTGAATTGTTCTCCAGCTCCAGGGGGACAACAAGAGGCGGTGGGTTATAGGAGGGATATTTAGACGTGATCTCCTGTCGAAATACATGATAGTCGAGCGGTGAGGCCGTCAGAAAAGGAGTCCTTCCAGATGACGACTTTTCCCTTTCCTCGAAGGCCGGCTCTAGTTCTTCTTTTGCTTTCTTCAGGCTGTCGCTGCCGCCGAAGAAGAGAAGCAAGGACTTCCAGAACAACAAGATGATTCTTGTGAGTGGAACATTGGCCGAGTCATCCCACCGCAGTCTTGAAATGATCTCCACCAGAAAAACCAAGAGATTCGGCTTCAGATCCATGATGCTATCTCGTAAAGGCGTATGCTTCTCATTACGGGCCTCTTGCCGCCGTCCAGTTTCCACAAGCAAATAGAATGCCGTGAGTACTAAATTCGCCTCTCGTTCCGAGGCAGCAAGGAATGCAATGTTCGTGTTCTCGTGTCCTGGGCTTTGGGAGTCGGTATTAGGCGGTTTGCGATTCTTTTCAAATGTCTGGCATAGGCACCCAAATAATGGCTGAATACCCGAGCAGTCGTGAAATAAGGTAACGTTGTTCTCGATCCATCTGAGTTGAAGAGATTTAGGCGTTGAGTCTCTTGCCTCAGTCTGCGAAGAAGCGTCTTCATGGTCGCCATCATTGACAGATCTGCCAGCGGTAATTCCCCACACGCCAGTCACTACATAACAGAGGATTTCGAGCGCTTCTATTCGGACCAAAATTTCACGGTCTCTTAGTCGAGAAATGACCTGGCTGATAAATGACTTGCGCAGAGCATCAGATGCATCAGTCCAGGAGACATTCGAGTCAATCTCTTGGCTCTCGCCGAAAGCAGTCCACTTGTGCTCAAAGGACGATCTCATACCGAGGAGCATCGCTCTATCAAATTCACTGTACTGGAACCATTCCTCGATTTCTTCCTCGAAAGGCTGTGAATCCGCATATTCGAAAGCATAAGCGGGCTGTTCAATCTTCGGCATCTCCTGGACCAGCTGCCTCAGCTGTGCAAGACTCAGTGAGTCCGGTGGCCTTTCCGAGTTCTGCTGCACTGGTGCTGGAGGCGGAGGTTGCAACGGAGGCGGCGGCGGTGCCGCAACATCACGACGTAGCTCTGGTCGTCGAGTCGCTTTTTCCACTTCCGGGGGCGCTTCATCGGAAGCAGTCGACGTGGATTGCGAGACCTGCTCCTGTCGCAATCCCTCAACAACTTCTTCCATCAACTGATCGTCCGAGACTGGGCTGATATCGGTCCCGGTCTGGTCAACCTCATCTGCCTTCACAAAGTGATGCTCTTGCATGGAGGCTTCGGTGGAGCCTGAGGGCTCATCCATTTGCATTACTGAACAGATGTTTGGTTTCAAGGAAAGGCAGAAATATAGGGAAGAGAGCTAAAATGCCCAAAATGCAATCAAACAATAAGAGCAAGGGTATCGGTCAAAGATAGATCATAAGATATGGCAGATGAAAGATGGACTAGGTCATTAATAAAGGGAAAATATGCAGAATGTAAAATGGGACAAGGGTCCTGATATGATGGTCAACCCAAATGCAGGCACATGGTGTCGAGTGGCAGGCTTGACAAAACGTCTTTGGCAGCGGTTTGGGATCGACGATGGAGGATTCGGGGAAACGTGACGATCCGCGGTCGATGCCGGTCACGTGCAAGTTACCGGTGAGGTGAGAGCCAGGGCAACCCTTATTCTTATTCACTCGGAAATCACCAGAAATTGGAGGTTACAGATCCTTTAATTTACTGTTATATAAACATTAACACTCATACGGACGTCACTCAACCGAAGGACATATCACATCAGCCGCCATGTGTGACTACATATCGCAGTTTGTCTCTACGAGCAGATATAGAATCTACCTAGATGAAGATACTTGGTGTTGTTGCAGTCTCAATAGACATTAGATGCGAAGGTTCAGAGACCGAAATAGAAATATAGGTTTATAGCAACAGCGTAAGAATATCGAGGAAAGGGGTATCACAAAAGCCAAATCTTGTACAAGCTCTTGGCCCTGACTCTCAGGCCTTCGGAAACAACAAATGCTAGCAGCAGTCGAAACGGCGATTACTCCGATTTACGGGACTGATCATCCCTGCTTTCTTGACGTTTCAACTTCCGCTTCGATTGCCACTGATGCCATCCGGCTTCGTCGAGTTCTTCACTTACCACCAAATCTCGTATTCTGAAGAGCCTGGATATTGACAAGTCTAAGGCCCAGTCTAACCAGCCATAGTTTCGAATCACTTCCGTCACGAGAAACCAAGCCAGCGCACATCCAACTCCAGTACCACAGCCTGCTAGGACTTGCTTCGGGGTATGGTAGTTCAGGTAGACCCGACTAATGGCTACCGTACCAGCACCAAAGCATAGTCCCACAGCAAGCACTAATCTGAGAAAGTAGTGTAGTTTCGCGTCCGAATGAGGCAGGGTAGGGGCGTGTCGGAAGAGAAGAAACAGCGACAGGTACACGGCGAAGTAGGCAACAAATTGAGCGTGAGATGACGGCATACCGTAGCCTTTACCGAACATTTCTAGAAAGGCAAACTAGGCGTCAGCGATCGGCGAAGGACAGCGGGGTGGGTAATCTACATACGCTTTGGCCGTTCCTCTTTGATTATACGTTTCAGCACAAAATTCAGGGCCTCACAACCCATCTGCCCGGCAAACATGAGAAGCACTTCGGCTTCCCTCGTAGCCCAGAGGAGAGTGACATAGGCCACACATATTGCCTGCGGAACGAGGGCGAGCCAGGCAGAGAGGAAGGATAGGGGATCGGCAGGGTTCTATAATGGTCACCGATGAGTCTAATCAGTTACTTTCCTTTTTGATAAATCCCGGTCCATTCCCGGTCAAGGGAGACCCCGAAGGAACTATCACTTACATAATGAACGTGGGTCAGAGAGAGCGAAGCTAATGGTGCCTCCCCCATGTTGAATGATTGAATCAAGGTTCCCGGGGTCACAGTGTTTCCTTTTCTTTGTTGGTTTCCTTTCTCGCCAGGTAGACTGGAAACCCAGTCACTATCCAAGGATTGATGAGTCAAGGATGATAAACCCAATAAGAAAGTGTAGAGCTATTCAGCAGTACAATCCAGTCTGCAAGTAAAGTAGAAAAAAATGAGGGAGGTCCATTAGTAAAAAGACATCGTGGCGGATGTCCGATGAAGCGTCCAAGGAACGCGGCAGGAAAGGCTAAAGGAAAGATAAGATGCGGAGAACACCTGCATACGGATAGCCGCCACTCTGGGCAGTTTTCCTCGCCGCCTTTTTCAAGGATCTGGGCGGTGAGTGGAAAGGGTAAGGCGGCGAGGAAAAGAGGGGGAGGGGAACAGGGCGGCCTCAGTCATCGATGATCTAATTTATTTATTTTATTTAACCTCTTCAGTAGAAAAAGAATGGCCTGGGCATCCAAACTCAATGCCTGATTGCCTGAGGGCCGCATCTGCCTTTTCTCTCCTCTTCCTCTCTTCCTCTCTTTCTTCCTCTCTCTTCCATCCAGGTTCCTTCAATTTCCCTTCTGTCCATCGGTTTCCAACCTGACTCATTCATCCTGCCTTTGCGCTCTTATCGCAACGAAAAATGACGCGCTTCCCCTCGCATCTCCAATTCTACTCCTGGCTAGTTTCGCTTGATTTGCACCATCTGACAGCTCCTTCGTCTCCGTGATCCATCTGGCTCTCTACGTTCCGATCGACCCTTCTATCTTGCCTTGGCCCCTTCCTATCGTCGCCACATACTAAACTGGGAAACGCTGGCCCTTGACTAATCTACAATCATTCCTTCTTCTATCTTAGAGCCTCACCACCGTCACCTCCACCCCACTACCCTCCAATCGGTCGATTTTTTTTCCCTTGCTTCTTTGCATCGGTTCTCTCCAAGGGATGAATGTATTCGGTAATACTACGTTCTTGATCTATCGTCATATATCACAATAATATAAGTTCCCAATCGAAGAGTAAACTTTGCCACCAGTACAACGCCGCATCTATCAATTGATCATCGAGCATTGATTCGTTCCCTACCCCACGGTGACTGCCTGCGCCGCTATGGATTCCGATGACGATCGCTCCGTGGAGTTGTCTTCGATTGAAGCAATATACCCGGAAATCAAAATTGACCCATCGACTCCCTTCCGAGCATCGTTGGATATCCCTGTGAAGCCCTCGACACCCCTACGAGTTTGCTTTGAGCAGTATGCAGAAGCTGGGTCGCCCACTGTTCTGACTCCTCCAAATTCTCTGGGGGCTGCCGAAGTTGCACCTACGACGAAACCCGGCGACAACACCGGAAACGATGTACACTTCCTTCCTCATCTTCCTCCGATTGCTCTCGCTGTCGATCTTCCTGAAGGCTATCCTTCCCTGCAGCCACCTATTGTCAACATCAGCACCGATCCGCCATGGCTTCCTTCTTCGATTGTTTCGGGTCTTCTAGATGATGTGAAACGCCTCTGGGAAGAATGTGGGAGGGACCTGGTCATTTTTACGTACATTGACCATCTTCAACAGCTCGCTGAGACGGCTTTCGGGATCCAAGATATCCCGGATGGCGAAATACGGCTTCCCCGTGAGCTCAAGATTTCTCTACTGGACTTTAACAACAAGGCCGAGAAAGAGAAATTTGAACAGGAAACCTTCGAGTGCGGTATCTGTTTGGAGCCCAAGAAAGGTGCCATTTGTCACCGGTTGCTCCTCTGCGCTCACGTGTTCTGCGTGCCCTGCCTTCAGGACTTTTACAACACATGTATTACAGAGGGTGATGTGGACAGTATAAAATGCCTGACACCCAACTGTGGCAAGGAGCAAAAAACCGAGCAAAAAACCGCTTCAAACGGGGAAGTCCAAGTGAAGAAACGGAAAAAGAACGACCGAACATTGAGTCCCAGCGAGCTTCTCCAGATCCCATTGGAGCAGGAAACAGTGCAGCGCTATGTCTTCCTGAAGCGAAAGAAGAAGCTCGAGGCTGATAAGTCGACGGTGTATTGCCCCCGGCAATGGTGTCAGGGCGCGGCTCGCTCTAAGAAACACCCGAAGCCTGCGGATCCTATGGCAAATGACCTGGAGGAGTCTGACGAGGAAGACGATGAGGTCGCCTTCGACCCTCTTGGAGATGAGGCCCAGTTACCGCCAATGGCAGACCGTGTTGCTATCTGCGAAGACTGCAATTATGCATTCTGCAGTGTCTGTAAAAAGGGCTGGCATGGCGAGCTAGTACGCTGCTTCCCTCGACGGGAGGCGGAACTGTCGGCAGAAGAAAAGGCTACAGAGGAATATCTGAAGATGTACACCTCTCCTTGCCCGACTTGCAGCGCTCCTTGTCAAAAGCAAATGGGATGTAACCACATGATCTGCTTCAAGTGCGACACACACTTCTGTTACCTCTGTTCCAGTTGGCTCTCGGAAGACAACCCTTACCGTCATTTTAACGAACTTGCTAGCGGATGCTATAATCGACTCTGGGACATGGAAGGTGGCGATGGCATTAATCCGGACGGGGCTGAGGCTCTCCACCGCGTTCCCAATCACCTCGTCGATTTTGACGAGAGCGATGATGAGGACCAGCCTGCATGGCGTTTTCAAGGACAACCTCCGCCTCCTGCCCCAGCACCGCCGCGAGCCAACCAGGGCGCAAACAGACCCGGGCACCGCGAAGGCGGCGGAAATGCAAACAACCTCGATGCAGCAGGCATGGCCGCCGCCGCAGAGCGACAAGCCCAAGCACAAGCCATCGCCGAAGTGCGAGGTCGTCCCGGGGCTGAGGGGCCTCGGCCGCAAGCTAACGGAGACGGCGCCGCTCGACCGGGGCAAGTCAGACATCCAGGACTCCAACGATTCTTGGATTTGGTTCAGAATGATCGAGAAGACGAATGGGATAGTGACGAACTTGACGATGACTTCTAATTATTATCTTATGTGACGACTGCATCCTTAATAGAGTGATGATAACAGAAGGGACGAGACCCTTCTATTTTTTTGGATTTGGATTGACCATTCACCTGTTACATTTATGAAGTTGATGAAAACTCTACATTTTTTTTTTTTTTGTTAGCGAGCTGTTGCCAGCGTGTTTTTCTAAAAATTCTTGGCTCGTCCGCTGGTTTTGTATAAACTGTTTTACTTACCTAAGTACATACATATTCAGAAGGAGGGGATATATGTGCAATGTACATCATGATCTAAACCACAACTTTATGATAAAGATACGAGATCTGCGGGACGAGATAAATCAGCAGTAAGACATTCCGGTGATATCATCTGAACACCTTGTAGAATCATAGTTCGTAATGGATATGATTGATAGGTGATTAATATACACATGGTAGATGGGTGTGGTAGGATATAACTACCGAGTAGGTCAAGTTAGCGTCAGCTGGAAAACTCAGTCTTTACTTTCATTTTCAGACGCCAAACAACAGCAAGCAAATAAGCATGCGTAGATCACAAGATCGAAAGATAGCAGTATGGTATGGTATCAAGTTAATAACATTGAGGGAGTCACAGAAAAAAGAAAAATGAGACAGAGAAAATGAAAGGTACAAAGAAAAATATCCCCGAGTTATAAGCAGAAAAAGACAAATTTATACCGAGAATTCTCATCAAGCGAAAAAGTGAATAAGCAGTGAATAATAATAGAGACAGGGCCCGTTCAGACATTTCATATCATGTTGTTTCGCTCTTCGTGGTTCTCTCGCGCGTTTGGAGCGGATTTATACCACGAGAAACTCATCCTCGTCGCTCTCGTCAACTTTCGTGCCTGCGGTATTCCAATTGTACCAGAATTCGTAGCTCATGATCGTGTGGTCTGCGTACATGAGGAGCAGACGGTAACGTCGGGATGGGTTCCATCCACGCCAGCGCTCCTCGGGCTGGTAGGCGCGGGTGGCGCGAGCATGGCACTCGGGCAAGGTAGGGGGGGATCGATGGACGTGGTGACCGTGTGCCGCTTCCTCGCTGATGTCGGAAAGATCGGAGGGGATGTTGAGCTCGCTGCATGAGCGATCCGATGATCGTTCGGCCATAGAGGCATTGTCGGTATCATCGTCGGAGATGTGTTGGTAGCGGAAGGCAAGGTCGTTCTCGTCGACATCGCGGGGGATATAAGGCACGTCCGGGGGCATTTCGAACCCCTGGATGGGGCTCACGGACATGCCGAGAAGAGGGATGAGGGGACGGTCGCCGTATTTTTCCTGGCTCTCGAAAGGGACGATCCAGTCGACTCGGAAGGAGAGGCCGGCGGCTTCGGATTCGGTCAAGGCGATGATCGCGGCACGGCCTTTCTGCGAGGCGGCTACAACGATACCGTGTTCGGGGACATATTTGACCATGTTAAACCGATCACAGGCTCGGATTGAGACGATAGGGTGGGTGAAGGGCTGTCGGAGCGGTGCACCGCAGACAACGCTTGCGTGGGGGGCAAAAGGATGAGCAACTAGTCGGATGTCGGTTTGCGAAAAGTGGAGGATTGGGAACCTCGAGTTCACTGGAGCTGGTGTCGGTGGAAGACCAATTAGCGCCTCCATCCGTCCATGCAAACCAGCATCTTCAGGGAAGGCATTACGTGACATACGATCAAAGACCTGATATGCGACTGCCCCGGTTGCCGACGACCCTCCATCATCCGAGGATTGGTCGAGATCCATACCATACAGATCTTCATCCTCGGTATAGCTATCGTCATCCAATACCGAGTACCCGTCAAAAAACTCCTCGGCACCATGCATGTCACCCCCTCCGAGCGCTTCAAGCAGAGCAACCTGAAGGAACTCCGGCGTTGTTTGAGGGGGACGATGAGTCCGGGGAGGAACATGGCTGGTATGTTGGTCCGAATCACTGATTTGCTGCTGTTGCGTTGTCTCCAGGCCAGAATTTTGCTGGGAATCCACATCCAGATTCAGCTCGGAAGAGCTGCCATGACTCATGTTATCGTCGTAAACAGAACCATCAACGGCACGATGACTAAAGGCATCAGCAGAGTCTGAAGGGCGAAGATACCCAGAGCTTGCATGGAAGTGATTGGTCTCCTTGGCATCACTAGATTCCGACGATGCCACGCGTTCCACGCCTTGGGTGTCGCCTCCCTTGCTGATGCGACAATCAGGGCCGAATATATCAGGTAGTACCGGTCGTTCGGGTTCAGCCTTGACAGCAGGGGGAAAGTAATTGTAAAGCTGCGAGGCATTCGGCACTCGGCCACTTAGCTTCGTGAGGTCAAACACCGGTTGACCATCCTTTACTCGACGCTGAGGCCTACCGCCACACGCCTCTTCAGTGGACTTGAGAAGATGAAAAGAGCGCGGGTCAAGGGCGATAACGGACCAGCCACGTTCACTACTAGGTTCGTCAGCAAGAGGAGACCAGGGAAGCGGTACCCCACGCAAAAAGGTATACCGGTCGATGCTCAAGGAAAGGAAGAGACTCAACTTACTCGTTGCGCAGAGTGTCCTGGAAGGACCTGAAGCCAATGTCGTTGAAATGATACATATTAAATGCACCAAGGCCGTCCCAGATTTTCCAAACTAGGAGTTTATTGTCGATATCGGTGCTAACCATCCAAGTACCATTAGGGTCAAGGTCGCAATTGAGGAAAGAGACGGATGGGATGTTGGCAAAATGACCCGTGTATGTTAGTTTGATGTTGCGCGTTCGGTGTTTCTCGGGCATCCGATGTCGTAATTGCACAAACTGCTCATTGGTCGTTATATGGAGCCAGGTTTGGCCATAGTCGCTCAGATCAACCTCTTCTTCCAGTCGCTGACTCGATTCGCTGCTCCCTCCAGATATAGGGTTTACAAGAGCAAATGCGAAGACAGTAATTAGGCCAGTATTTGCACTCACCGCGATTAAGCGAGCAAACTTGTGAATAGCCAACCCCCATGCACTAGCTTCGACATTCTCAACAAAGAACGGGTCCACTTGGGAGCCATCCAGAGGGCGACTCCCATCGTTTTTTGCAGCACGATTCAAAGCTGAGAAGATCGCCTCGGTGCGATAACCACAGACGTTCCCCGAATCAGTGACGAGCAGGAGAACCTCCTCGCGACCAAGATCGTCCACGAGGATATTGTTGATCGCGTGCGGGGAATTGGGGGATATGAACCCGCGGGCATTGGGCTCCTTCATGACAGGTGTGATAATCATTAAAGGGACAGAGCCCAGCATCTGGAATGACCCCGCGGGTTCCCAGACATATATTTGATGACTATAAGCGACAAACAGAAGGTTACGACGCTGGGATAACGCGACCTTTGATCATGTCAGCCTCGGATGAATGCAAGCTAAGCGGATAAGACAGTCATGGGCATACGAGGTTGTTGCGCCATGTCGCAGTTTGGGGAGGAAATGAATCATCTGCTCTGGAAAGCCGGCGAGTCAGTATGCATGTCAAGGCCTCCGACGCTGAGAGGGAATTATTTACAATGAGAACTAATCAAAACGTTAGTTGAAAAATGAACATAGCTGACTGGCACACACAAATATGTGTCTACAATGATAGTAATGTACGCACTCTTTTCTCGCCCTTTTCCACATTCAAAGGCCGAAGATGCAAGCCCTCGCGCGTGCGAGTCTTGCGGCCGGGCGGTCTTTTACCGGCGAGATGGCCAAACGCCATTGCTACAAGCACTCTCCGTGCAGGAGCAGCGTGTCCAGACGATCAACGCCGGCCTAGGGTTGGAGTTTCGGATAGAGAACAATTTCACGGGGGAGGGACGGAAGAATCAAAATTATGACGATGGTGAGCAGCTGTCATACAGAAACACGAGGGGCACATGAATCAGATGCAGAATGATATCACTGGCGTCGGGGGGTCTGTCAATTTGGAGACCAGGCAGGATTAACATTGTCGAGCCATGGGGGAGCAGAAGCCACAACGGACGAAGCTCCTCTCCGAGAATCTGGACGGTCGACAGGACGAGAGTCCACTTTCGGAGGGCGATGAAGTCAGTCGTGCCATTCGCCGCCTCAGGCCGAGGCGTGCACGTGCCACCCGTCGGAGCTCTCACTTTCGTCTTTCCTGCCTCCTGGTCATCCCCGAGACAGTAACATCCTCGCCCGCTGACAAGTCTACCGCCATGGATCTCGTCGCAAGTGTTCGTAAGGAAGGCAGCCGGTGAGTTTCCCCTGCTCTCTGTTCCCTGTCACCCACCTTATCACCCGGTCGCTTACGGCTCTATTTTCTACTACAGTGGCGGCCGCAACGAGTTCAAATGGTCCGATGTCAAAGATTCCAGCCACCGAGAAAACTATCTCGGCCACTCTGTCATGGCGCCGGTCGGTCGCTGGCAAAGTGGTCGAGATTTACAATGGTATGCCCGATCCGGGGACGACGCCGAAGATCAAGCCACCAAGGAGCGTGAAGAGAGACAGCGCGTCAAGGAAGCCGAGGATGAGGCGATGGCGCTCGCTTTGGGTCTCCCATTGCCCCCCAAAGCCGCGGCCGCCGCCAACGCCAATTTGACACCACTAGGAGACAAAGACGTCCAACATGCGCTTCGGGAGACGGCAGCTGATAAGGATCTATCTGATGATGGGATGGGAAAGGGCGTGGGGTATGGCTCTTATAGGGGCGCGGGCGCCTCTTTACCCGGCGCAAACGAGGATGATAAGCTGGAGGCAGTGGGGGTCGATTCACATTCGCGACACGATCGAAGGCGGAGAAGTGGACGGAGCAGGAGCCCGGACAGGGATCGCAAGCGAGATCGTGCCAGTGGCCGGGATCGAGACCGAGATAGAGAGCACCGGCACCGGCGGCATCGCGATGAGCGCTCTCATCGCCACAGGAGCCACAGGCATCGGTCGAGGTCCCGCTCACGAGACCAGGATCGCCGGAGAAGACGGTCACGCTCACTGTCTAGGAACAGGGACAGGAAAGACGATGATTACAGAAGACAAGAAGATCGCAAACATACGCATCCACGCGAAAGGGATACGGACTCTTACCATCGGCGCTAATCCCATAGCTACCACGAATACTGCAGAGGGGATCAAGGTGCTCACCGCAACGTGCAGGACAAGGGATGCATTACAAGGTGAAGGCCACATCAACCCGGGGCTCAATGCAACACACAACACAACATCACGTGGAGGCCATGCCCGAGGATCCTACGATCAATGCGGTACATGAAATGAAGCAGAAGAATAAGCTAATTGATTGCCATACGTATGGGTGCTATCTAGGACTAAATACATGAGATAGGTATCTTTATGGCTGTTTTCTACCTAATTTTATCCTCAGCATCAGTGTTACATGTGGGTAGGTATACCATTTTTACGGGTGGTTTGCTACACTGATGTGCATATGTACTGTGGAATAGTAGTACAGTGTGGGAAGCTAAAGTTCTGACAAACAGTACTCTGTACTTTGCTTGGTCTATTTTGCCCACCTAATAGAAGCTAGAGTTTGAAGGGAGGAAAGGAAAGAGGGAAAGGAAGAAATAAATAAAACAAAGATAGGAGGAGCACTAACAAGAACCAAAGATAACATGTTCCTATGGGTTCTTTGCTGTCTGCCTCCCATTCATGGGGCTGTATACAGCCATGTAAGACTCAGCAGCCTCTCTAATAATCTAACTAGGAACCACTAGGAATTCTAGTCTTTTTATAGCTCAGTGGGTAAACGTCCCGCTATTAGTTACCCCAAGAGCAGAAAGAAATAGGTCTGGCTGGTAGAAGCGCACCTACTAACACACTCTCTCTTGTGCTCTCTGTCTCTACAAGCATGGCCGCCGAGGGAGTTCATAAGTTGATCCTGTACAGCGTAATTTGTCAGGTTGTTATGCAACACAGAGCATAAAAACAAGATTAGGTGGGTAGTAACTAACTATACAGGGATTGGATGAACAAATAAAATAAAAATAAAAAGCCTACTTATATCAATAAGTTAAGTGGTTATAAAAAAGGATTCAAATAATAAGACAAAAATTATATCCCCCGAACCAGAATCGAACTGGTGACTTTTCGGTTACAATCATCTATTACAGCCGAACGCCATGAACCAACTAGACCATCGGGGGATTTGTTGAAAATTGGCGCTAAATTTAACATTATACACTCGTTAGCCTACATGTCCCAAAACCTCCGATATTCTACAGGTTCATTTCGATTGCCATAGAAATATGATTTTCGGTACTGTATACATTACAGATTATAGTTGACTTTTAAAATCTATTAGAAATGGCACTTCCACCACTGCAATTCGGAAATTTTGGAATATGCAGGCTATGACGAGCTGAGCATGCTGTAACGGTCTACAAAGGAGCCTAATAAAAGACTAGTTTACTTATGACTCGTAGTCAAGGAATTTTCCCATGGAGAAGAAAGGCTATCTATGAGGGAGGATCTATCCTTTATGTATTACTTGAGGCGAAGCCTCAGGTAGGAATGCCTACCGAGGGTCCTCCATATCAGGAAGTTCGTATCGGAAGTCCGTATCGGGAAGTCAAATCCGTATCAGGAAGTCCTTGGCTCAGGAAATAACACATGCAGCGTTGCCTGCGCCAAAGTATTTACAGTGTTTATAGTGTTTGCACTGTTTGTCCCACGCAGTAGGTTTGTTTATGTTACCTCCTGAAGCCAGGGGGCTTTCCTGTACGGGAGAACGTTCCGGAGGATCAAGGGATCCTCTGCGGCAGGCATCCAGGAACATTCCTAGGGATCCTGCAGGCATTCCTGCCTGAGGCAAGCTCCAGGCAGTATATAGAGTCCCTGGATTCTCTCTCCTAGATAGCCTTTTCCTCCCTATGGGAAAATTCTTTGACTACGAGTCATAAACAAACTTGTCTTTTACTAAGCTCCTTTGTAGACCGTCACAGTTTACTGCTTTATGCAGTAAATCGTTATCTTCTTCTTTTTCCTTCTCCAACCTAGTGTTCTCGTAAATAACCTGCAATAAGAGCCAGTTCTTCATTCCTGAGATTGTTACACAGGCCAGCGAGTGTACAACCTGTCGCCTGCTGCCTGCATCTTCCGAATGCCCGGATTTTACTATACAGCCATTCACAGTAACTAGTCTAAGAGCTATCAATCTGTATTCTAATTACTTACCCCTGTGAATTCATTCTGACAGCCATGGAAATATAGCGTTTGGTACTGTATAAATAGCAAAATACATTCGACTTTAAAATATCTTTTTTGGGCATGTGACTAGGGGAATTCGGAAGATACAAGCCAGAGTTTGTATGTAGTCTTGTTTTAACTAGACAGAAGACAGATATAAAAAGCAAAAAGGTATCCCCCGAACCAGAATCGAACTGGTGACTTTTCGGTTACAATCATCTATTACAGCCGAACGCCATGAA